AATTTTAAATATTACTGTAATTTGGCTTGGTTTTAATTTTAATAATATACGATCCCAAGTAAATAATAGCACTGAGGCATTCTCTCCTAATGAAAATTAGATGTTTTATTTAAACCTATAAAAAAATGTTCTCGAGTGGTCCATTTAGTGGGAAACACCACGAAACGCTTTCCTTTCTTCCGTTGGTTGTTGGTTCTTCAAACTATATGGATGGTCTATTTCCACTTCAGTTTTTTTTTATAGTATAGGCTGACAAACGAGCATACAGTCCACCTGATGGTAAGTGGTTGCTGTGACCCATAGACATCTACATCTATCCTCTGTTACAAATCAAAATGTAGATGCGTTGTCACCCGTGAGGACTAAGATGGAATGCCTTTTTTCTAGTAAAAAGGACCACACAGCAATGTTAAGCTATTTGACGCTGGTATTCTGTGAAAGCGTTGTTCTTCTCCGGTCGAGCGGACCCATTCGTGCTACTACTATACTACTAATATAGCTGCAGCGTGGCTCTACCACGTATTAAACTTCATAATCGGTTTAAAGCTTAAGAATCGGTTCCTCTTGTTCTACTGCGGCTATCCTTATTACGATGTCTATCAATCATAGAAAAACCGGTCATAACCATCTCCATGGCCCACTCAGCAACCTTGAGCTTCCTCATACAGGCAGTAGTAAAGGATACCGTCTTAGAAATCTAAGTCATAAATTTTTAATAAAAACTAACATTTTATGTTAGTTATAATATAATTGGTCAAAAAGGGACACAATGCTGAGACTTAGAGATTTCCAGGATGTATTTCAGATTACCCATAATCTAGTCGACAAAGCGGAACGTTTCCTACCTTAATAATCCTATTATCTATTAAAGCGGCTCTAAACCTCAAACCCACGCAACAGTTACATATACGGATAAGTAATAAAATTAGAAAAAATTATGTATATATTTATACATATATATAATTTTACTTTTTATCTTTCAATTTTGAATATTGCTACATTACGTCTTATATGTCTATATAAATAAATACATAAATAAGTAATTGGATATATCACACTATAGTGAAAGTACTGTACCTATAAGAATTGTGTAAACTAATATTTCTATATAATTTCTATGATAATGTATTAATTATTTATGTATATATACTTAGTATGTAATAACATCATGATTTTCATATAATAGACTATCATAATATTTTTATAGTTGTAAATTTTATGTAACAAAAATAACAAATTTAATTATTGTAATTTATTAGAGGGTGCTACTCAGTAATTGCATGCGCAACCAAATTATTGTCACGTGAACCAAATTAGAATACCAAGTAAGGATGTGTATAATTTGTGTTAGTTTTATTTTAATTTTAATAACATAAATGAACACCAAGAACGCTGATCTCGTTTCATTGCTGAATGGCTATACTATGTGTGTAGCTTTGTGGGATAAAGAAGCAGCTCCCTTGTCACCAGCGTCGATGACTAGTCCCGGAAGAGTTTTTTTAGGAATTTTACGGCACAGGGACGTAGTCTCTACAGCAAATTCTATAAATATGTAATCGTTTCTCAGAAACTCTTATTGAGCCATTCACTCAGTTCAGCCGTATATGATGCCACCGCGACTAAATGAGGTATTCTTGAGACAGGAGGCTGCTAAAGTGTCAAATCTTATATTATATCTTATATTTGCTTAATTTCTTTTATAAAAGAGGAGGCAAACAAGCATGCAGCTCGACTGATGGTAAGTGCCGACCTCCGCACATGAACAACTGCAACACCAGAGGAATTGCAGGTACGTTGTTGGCTTTTTTTCTTTTTTTTAACGTTACCATTACACAAGAATTTCCTTTTGCATCATTGGGTTAGTTTATGCATGTATTAAATTACATAAGGACAAACATCCAGACAATTACATAAGAAAAATAATTTGTAGGCCATTAAATACTTGTTTGTTGACCCTTAGCACTGCAACTCATTGCTAAGCAGTAGCGCCACGGATCATTTCAATATTTGTAATTGGTGTTTAGTATTTCGATTGGATTAGAGCGGATTAACATAACTTATCAAGAGTAAGTGGAAAAAGTCTTTAACAACTTCTATTCCCGAAAATAACAGAAAAGATATAATTACTGAGTATAGACCGATTTCCAAATTATGTGTTTTGGGAAAGGTCCTTGAAAAAATTGTCTATATTTCGTTTTCAGCTTGTAATTACATATGCCAACAACAACATGGTTTCTTTAAGCACCGTAGTGTGGATACCAATATGGGTTTTTCCAAGGCTTTCGACAAATTAAATCACGATCTACTTATTGAGAAGCTTACAAGGGCTGGAATTCACAGAAACGTTCACAGGTGGATCCAATCTTATATTAAAAATAGATTTCAAACAGTTTGTGTAAAGGGATACTCTTCACAATTTCTACCTGTACAATCAGGCGTGCCTCAAGGATCATATTTGGGCCTTTTGCTGTTTCCTTTATATATTAATGATATAGGATTTGCACTAAAATAGTGATTACTTACTATATGCCGACGACACAAAGTTATTCAAATTTATCGAAATAGTTGATAACTGTGTAAAGCTGCAAAAAGAACTTCTCTATGTAATTATTGTGGAAATAACCAATTATATTTCAATATTGATAAATGCCATATTAATATATCTTATACACGTAAAGTCAACAATATAATATTGGATTATTGCTTGAATGACACCACTATTAAAAGAGTAGTTAGAGATCTGGGTATAATAATGGACTCAAAATTGTCATTCAATCTACACATTTAATGCATTTCATAGCTTGGAATTTATTCTTAGGACTAGCAAACCCTTTAATAAAACAATACCTCTAAAACCTCTATACTTTTCATTTGTTCGGTCAATCTTAGTTTTATGTAGTATTGTATGGAGTCCCTGTTATCATATACATAAGAAAATAATTGAAAGAGTACAAAAGATATTGCTAAGGTCACTTAACTATCGTAATAACATTACTAATTAATCATATGATGAATCTTTGCTTAGGTATAAGTTGTTATCCCGCTACAGTGGCGCAAATTGTTTGATATAATGTTTCTACTCTACTCTTCTCTACTTCTCTCAAAGGTATCAGTTATTGCTCGTGCTCGTCTTCCAGTGCGATCCTCACGTAAAATGCTACTTTTTGTTCCTCCGCGGTTACATTAAATATATACTCGTAACTCATTCTTATACCGTTCCACTGACATATACAATAAACAATTTACTAATATCGACCTTTGTAACACATCTCTCAATACCTTAAAACAGACATTAAAAACCAATTTTAGTAAGGTTTGCCAAAAAAAATAAAAAAAATATTACCACACGTATTAGTTCATATTATCCATTTCTTACAACACAAATTGACAAAAATAATTACTTTATGATTTCACACAGCGTGAGTCGCCTTCTAAATCTAATTGAATAATAAGAATAACAACATAACTTTATAATTTCTTTTCGACAATAATCTTTTTTCAAATTGTTAATGGGCACGAGGCGTAATGTTCGCGGAAATGTTTTAGATTTGGTTGTAAAGCTACGCCTATACATTAATCTGTACAAACTCTTTTGATTCCCCTTAAAGTAACTTTCGCATTTTCTCCCTTTAGTAACAAGCCTTAGTGATTTTATAATCCTAATTTTTTAAGGTAGTTATCGTAAAAGACTACTTAGAAAAATGCCAAAAAATTTCAAGTAGTAGTATTTAAATTACGTTTTTACGTTTTTTTACGTTTTTTCTCTACTACTCTATATCAATAGAGTAACTATTCAAATAAAGGCTCTTCCCGTCCTTTCCTTATAATATTAAGCAACTCTATTTATTTTTTAAAGTAATGCTTCATGAGGTTGTCCTTGACGGTAGCTCAGATCTTATTTAGACGGAAGTAAAGTTCAGTAAAATTTATAATCCACTTACGCAGTTTCCACACTTACAACGGCTAAGACTGACAACACTATTTTCTGAGTACCCATAAGTGTATTTGAATTGACATAACCAACTTGAATTTACAACTGCTTAAACTTATTTCTATTTTCGTTTATATAGCTAATTCAATACTTATATTTATTGTTATTTTGTTGATTAATTTTAATTCATAAACTTACAACGTAACATATATATCCCACCGATGCTGGTAGTTGTTACACTACACTACGCTCTGAGTGCTTATTGTCCGGATAATATAACATAACATAACTTGAAAAGAACAGTGTACAACTAGTGTGTGATGCCAATGATGACATATTACGGAATTGAGATGTTCTTCGTTGGCCGTATGAGGAAGCTCAAGTTCGAGATATAAAGAAGGCTGTGCTCGGAGTTTCCCTGCGTGTAAATGTTGGGCGGCCCTCGACTTGATAAGAGTGGCGACGTGAAGTCAATTTGCGGTGACCCAGGACCATGCTTTGTCGTATTCCTCGGACAGGTTATGTTCAGCATTGGACTTGTAAAGAACTTTAATAATGATAATAATTATTATAAATAAATTAAAAGTTGGTTTAACATTTTAGTAATAAATAAAAATATGGTTTTCAATGTTGTAAATACATAACAGAAATAAATATTAAGATTTATTAATACATTTTACTTCAACTGCAAGGTAACACGCATTAATATAAATAAAATAAATATGTCTATCAGTAATATCCGATATAATTTCCCTTTTTATACTATTTTATTTAATTTGAATACTATTGTGGCGGCACTGTTGTTGCGCCAGATGCAAAGCACATCGATGTCTAAATCGCGCTAACAAAGTTCCGAAGTTAAAGCAGTATATATAGCAGTGATACACAGACTTATTAAGACTAGGGGCCACTCGGGCAAATTATGAACTGATGGCGGGCCGCCAGAAGTATAGCTAATTAAAGACAATAAAGAATTGATAATAATGTATTAAAATTGAAAAAGAATTTATTAATTTGAAGCGTGGCACTAGGCATAGTGCTTACAATCTTTTTTATATTTGGCTCAAATTTACTTGCTCGTAGAAACACGTAAAACTGCTTGCAAACTTTCATTTGCAAGGCGGTTTCGATTTTTTGTTTTATTATTATTTAGTATTGAAAAGGTTTGTTCACATATATAGGTAGAACCAAATAAGCTGGCACATTTCAGAGCGTTTATGCGCAACTCTTTGTACGTATTTTTATCAATGCAGCGGTAAAAGTTCAGCAAGTCTCCTTCGTTGAATTTGTTGCGTAAATCTTGGTCGCGTTGAATGTCGATAATTTCTAACTGCATTGAGTCTGGCGCATTTTCAACTGAAATCGTGAAAGGATTGCTTAATATGTCCAACAGAGGTTTCACTTTTTTAAACTCCAAAAATCTGTCTTCAAAAGATTGAATCAAAATATCTAGCTTTTCAACATCACTGAAATTAATCGCAGTTTTGTTGAATTTTTCAGCCATTTTCTTATAATTCGGAAAATGATTGTAATTTCCAGAATTCAATTGCGATCTGAAAAGTGTCAGTTTGCATTGAAAGGATCATACATGAGCGTAGAGCTGGGATATCAGTTGATTTTTGCCTTGAAGTCGTGTGTTCAAGACATTAAAATGATTTGTAATATCAACTAAAAAAGCCAAATCACACAACCAATCAGGATTTTTAAGTTCCGGGACATCCCTTTGCTTTTCCGCCAGAAATATTCCAATTTCTTCTATTAAATTTAGAAATCGTTCCAGTGTCAATCCACGACTTAGCCACCTTACTTCTGTATAATACAGTAAATCTCCATATTCGCTTTCGATATCATCAAGGAATTGTTTGAATTGCCTGTGATTGAGTCCTCGTGATTTTATGAAATTTACAGTCGAAACTACCACTTTCATGACAATTTGTAATTCAGTTTTTTAAGAACAGAGGGCTTCTTGGTGTATAATGCAGTGAAACGGAATGAGATCTTCAGCGTTTATGTTTTTTTCTTGCATATGCTTTTTCAGCAAAGTAACTAGCCCAGAATTGACACCAATCATCGAAGGAGCACCGTCAGTCGCAACTTCCGATAATTTTGATAAGTCCAAATCAGTTTTTGAACACTCATCCAAAAGTACATTAAGTATATCAACTCCTCTGGTTTGACCTTTCAATGAACACATTCCTAATAACTCTTCTAAGACTTCAAAATCTTGAATTACACCTCGTATGAATATCAGAAGTTGAATTGTGTAACTAATATCAGTGGATTCGTCGAGTGCTAATGAAAAATATTCAATGATCTTAGTTTTTTCATTTAATTGTTCCGCAATATTACCTGACAAAGACATAATTCGTCTTTGGATAGTCATACGATTCAGTTGAATTTTCTCAAACTTTATTGCTACTTCTGGACACATTTTCTTAGCGGCAATTTCTATGCATTCTTTTACAAAATCCCCATCATTGAAGGCGCGACTTCGCTTTGCTATCATTCGAGAAATTTCATAACTAACTTCTGTAGCTGTTTCTGAATCTTGAATGGGTTTTGTAAACATAGCTTGCTGAACAATAAGTTCCCGTTTTAAAGATAACATTTTTTGCTTTCTTAATTTGCCTGTAAACTTGGTAAAAGTAGGATGCTGTGTTTCATAGTGCCTTTTTACATTATATTCCTTTGCAATTGCAACAGAATTCTTGCAAATTAAGCAAATCGTCGAGTCGAAAACTGTCTGGAGAAATCACGAAACCGACTCTGGAAGATTCGTGTATCTACCTACGCGAGCAATCGGGAATTCAGGACCATTGCTATCTCGCTTGCTCTAACAATATAATCCGTGGATAAGCCGCCACCACGCTGCCGTCGTCGCCGCGCTCCCGGCCGCGGCAGTTCCTCAAGAAAACAAATTTAACCGAGATTAGCACGAACATTACCGACCGCTGTTACCGACGCATGCACGGTGCGGATAAGCGCACTTAAGAGCGCGCACGCGAGATTCAAATTACTTTTCGAACATATTTTTTTTGGTTTTATTCTGGAATATAATTCAATATATTTCGAATATACGAGAGTATTATTTTTGCTGTCAGCGGGCCACCAGTATTCGACCGGCGGGCCGCATGCGGCCCGCGGGCCGCGGTCTGTGCATCTACGATATATGGAATAGCTCCGAACTACCACTAGGAGCGTTGCCAGGGCGGGAGATCTCCTTTTTTCCTTTCACCAGCTACACTATTATGACGAAAAGAATAATTTTTAAATTGTTATCTGTCTGTCTGGTTGGGCTAATTACTAGAATGGCTGAACCGATTGTAATAAAACTTTACGAACAGATAAAGCGCAATGCCACAAGTGAAACTTTTATGCCAAAATGAAAAATATATAAAGTAAGTGATTTGATATGAAGTCGTGGGTAAAAGCTAGTTTAAAATATCAATACAAACCTTATTATTATCTTGGTGACGCCGTAACAGTGGTCCTTTTTACAATGGCAATATTGAGATTATGATCTTCGTAAGTCCACGCAAAAGGTAAAAAAAAAATAGTTTTAACAAATTTCACATTCTGAAGTTGCGGCTTTAATTCTTCTATACACTATATCATAGCACTGACTTAAGAATGTAAAATTATTTTGTTCTTTTTAGTTATTTGAAATCGACTTTTACTTTTTGGTAAAAGTTAGTTTTATGCCGATATAAAAACATATAATAAATTTTCAATGTTCATTACATTCTATATATTGGTACTTCCTACCTATTTATTATTTAATAATGTTGCAATCTGATGCTGTTAAATTGCATCGTTATCCACATTAGCAAAATTCATTGAGCGCTCTAATGATCTAGATAATGAACCAACCGCTCGAGTCGTTAATAGCTTTACGATCATCCTTATGAGTTCTAGCTAGCTTATCAAACACATACAGGGAAATAACATGAATGGTTGGTAAGTGGGTGTCTCCTTTATGTAATTTTAGAAATGAGCTGATAATGAGATTTTTTTTATAGGATAAGGGTAACAAACGAGCACACAGTCCACCTGATGGTAAGTGGTTGCTATCTATCCTCGTTTGCGAATCAAAATGCAGATGCGTTGTCACCCGTGAGGACTAAGATGGAATGCCTCATTTCCAGTAAAAAGGGCCTCCGAAACTTCTTCTATTTTGTTCAATAAATCACAAAACTATATTTTGTATAACAAAGCCACACTCTAGCACTACAAATTCGCCTCTAAACAAAATATAGCTTTAATAATTTACAGAATGTGGGGACTTAAAATCGTGGCCCCAATTTGGGGTTAAGTTGCTTTGTTATATGTGTTTAATTATTACCATTGAATATAACAGCTCATCATCATCATCGTTACAGTTTATCACAAGCCCACTGCAGAACAAAGTCTCCCCTAATCAATGCCATAGTGAAGTAAGTTACAAAGCACTTAGCTACATATTATGTATGAATCTTACGTTAATCTTTCTCTACATATATACCAAGCTTAGGACTGCAATACTTTTTTTGCATTAGCAAAGAATAAAACATTTTTTTAAATATAGATTTTAAATAATCCATATTGAAAGTAATTTTAATTTGACTACTGCTTTTAAAAAAAACCAGGAAGAAACCAAGCGGGACATTTTTCCACAGAACATAACATAATGTAAAATAGGTTTTACAATTATTTACAACATTCGTTTAAGAAGCAGTTTGGAAATTACCACCTCATTCCCAGGGGTTAGTAACCATACAATTATTTATATTATAATAATCCTTTTAATAATGTCTTAGTTTAATATAAACATCACACTTGTTAATAGAGAGCAATTAATTTTCACACATTGACATGGCGAAATGGAGTAACACACTTGAATAAAACGCTAACAGGCCGCGCCAGTCGCACAACGATAAAACTGCATTTCGTAAAAAAATTGAACGAAATGCAGATGTGTTGTCAGCTCTGGGGTTAAGGCGTTGTCACAACATCATGAAATCGTTGATCGTTTGTTACCAGGGTTAAAAGGGTTTTCGGTTTTAGTCACTCACCATACAAATTACAATTCTTTTTTTTTTATAAAAATGTTTCCCCCACACTAGGTTTTTCTCCTGTATCGCATAGGCAGTTTACAAACATATATTGCACAAGGACAAACATCCAGACCCGGAACAATTATTTGTAGCCCATACAAATACTTGCTCCGTGCGGGATACGAACCCGCGGCCCCCAACGCAGCAACTCTTTGCTAAGCCACTGCGCCACGGAGCCGTCAAAAATCATAATTATGTTACTATTTAACGCTGGTCTTCTGTGGGAGCATTGGCCTTCTCCGTTCGAGCCGACTCATTCATGCTGCTGTTATGATATAACTGCAGCTTATTTAAATACTGAAATCGTCAAATAAAATTATAAAGTAGAACATCCACGACTGAAGAAATCCTCCAGACCGAATTTTCACATTTCATCGTATTAAGATATTACTGTGTTTTCTTTGTTTGATATTAACTGTAGGTATCCATAGGCTGCAGAACTGCAGTAGCTACTTACCACCAAATGCATGATAATTGTGAAGAATTAAAGAATTATTAAATTAAAACTACTTGACCTGTCTGATTCTTAATACTTCATGTTTATCTTTATTTATTTTTTGTTTATCTTCAAACTTGTTAAATTGTATTTGGTCCATCCTGTGGTTGTCGGTTATTATATTTACAAATATCTAATTGCTTAATTAGTACATGTTAAATAGCAGGAAAACTGAAAGAGGAGAAGGGCAGCAGCATATTTCTGATAACAACCGTTCTGATGCCAAGCGTTACAACTATGGCGAAATTCCCCCCACGCGACAATCTAGAGATGCCTATGTTGTAGGTTGTAATGGATGGATGACATTTTAAATATGCATACAGTATTAAATGCTCAGTTGGCAAACCTTAATAAATAAATGAATTACTTAAAGAATTTTTGGAATGTGAATACCAGTAAAATCATTTAACAGTTCATCACAGAACAGACAGTAAAATTATTGCCGGGAAAACACCGACATTTTCAATTTATACTAACATTATTTAAGAAGTAGATCCTACTAGCAGATCAAAAATAACATTTTCAACAGAAAGTTCTCATTCCTAAACGTAAATAAATTATGAAACACTCGCACATAAAAGCAAGTCAAAAGTGATTTGTTTTCTGTCCTTCATAGCAAACATTCTCCGTGTTTCTGAAATTAACGAGTACAGGTACTAATACTGATTGCAATTTAGGAATTTTTTTAACTATATTTACCATTCTTGTCTCTTCTTGTCTTCTAGCCTATTATAGTCTATCAAAACACTGTTCTATTGGATATTTTACGCCAGGTGTAAATACCCACACTGCGTCCACCAAAACATCAGAGTTGTGTTCTGTTTTGAAGATTAAAAACGCAAAAGTACAATATGTCTATCTATCTATTACAGCCTATAAAATTCACTGCTGAACATTTGTCTCTCCCATAGATTG